GTGAAAGTGTTGACTGGTGTCACTATCTCGTGAACGTGCTGGCGGATCTCCACCAAATTCGGGGGATCCCTTCATCTCGAGGAGCCCTCTCGAGCGCCACCCTCCGCGCGTTGGTAGCCCCCCGGGATCGCTAGATCGGTTGGTGCCGGATCGCGAATTGAACCGCCCGTAACTCCCGAACCCCGGGGCTATCAACGCGGGGGTGGTCTCATTCGAAAGAGGGCCTCGAGACGTACAATCGATTCGCGTTCGAGAGGGTTCCTCGAGCTGAAGGGATCCCCCGAATTTGGTGCGGATCCGCCACACCGTTACGGAGGTATGGCCGTTCAAAGTTTCAATGGTTTTCCGTAGACTTAAGCTTTAAAGCGTTTCATCCAGGTCGCCAGTAGCAAACAATGGAGCATGCTCTGCTGGACAAACTAAGTAATTACACCATTTCAAGCATTTTCCGTAAAAAAAAAATGTTCATATCGGCGGCATATTCACAGATACCGATATATCGGCGACAGGCTCATATCGGCTGATAATATCGGCTAAACGATATATTGGTCGGGCTCTAGTAATAATTTTTCACTCAATTTTTACAGTTTTTAATTGTGGTTTTGATCAAATAAATGCAATGATGGTGTGTATCTGAATCATTTGCTCCTACTTGTATGTAATTTTAAGAGGTTTTACTGTATTGGTCAGTGTATTTAGTATAGCAAAGCAGCATACCTCTGTGAAAAAAATTATTATTATTATTTTTTGGTTTGTGTGCAGATCGACGGCTCGACCCTGAAGACAATCTGTCTGCAGCACGGCCCTCTGCTGACCTTTCACCTCGGCTTGACACAGGGCAGCGCTCTGATCCGCTACTGCAGCCCTCATGAAGCCGCCAAAGCCCAGAGCGCCCTGCACATGTGAGTCACACTAACACAAATACGTGTTTACTGATTATATGTGACCCTGGACCACAAAACCAGTCTTAAGTCGCTGGGGTATATTTGTAGCAATAGCCAAAAATACATTGTATGGGTCAAAACTATCGAGTTTTCTTTTATGCCAAAAATCATTAGGATATTAAGTAAAGATCATGTTCCGTGAAGATATTTTTTAAATTTCCTACTGTAAATATATTAACTTTTTTTTTGATTGGTAATATGCATTGCTAAGAACTTCATTTGAACAACTTTAAAGGTGATTTTCTCTATTTAGATTTTTTATTTTTTTTGTAAATTGACTGTCAATGTTATGTCTGCTGATCAGGTGTGTTCTGGGAAACACCACCATCCTGGCCGAGTTCATGAGCGAGGAGGACGTCGCCCATTACATCACACATTCTCAGGCCGCAGGGGTCGCGGTGTCACCCGAGGGCTCGCCCAGCTCTGACCTTGTCCCGCGAGAGGGCGAGCGACCCATGAGCTCCGGGGCTGATGGAGACATGACGGTGGGCTGGCAGGGGCTGGACGTGACGGCCGGCTCCACGGTGGAAGCGCCGGGACTCGCCCTCCTCAGCCAATGGAGCAACAGCGCAGGGGACGGGGTGGGGAAAGGCGTCTGGGGGGGCGTGGCTCTCGGTTACCACGGCGGCAGCCTATGGGGCGCTCCTCAGTTAGAGGACGGCACAGCCGGGTTGTTGCCAGGCAACCTGCTTGGAGGCGGGACAGACAGTTTGTGATTGACAGCAGTCAGTTCTTGAGATGCTGGTACGTGGAGTTTAAAGTGTGTCAAACTGCAAAAATAATGATTGTTTCCAAACATTTGGAAGCCAATGCATTGTTATAGTTTTTCAGTCTAGCTTTCGAGAACATTTCATTTTTAAACCCCAAATATGTATATATATATATTAGGCATAAAAGTGTTAATCACAGTTAATCACGTTCTCAGCTAGTTCTCATTACTGTATGTCATCTCATTTTCATTCTTATATATATATATATATATATATATATATATATATATATATATATATATATATAAATTTTAATATTTAATTTATTTCAATATAATTTAAAGGCATTACAACAAATATAATGAAAAAGAATTGATTTGGCATGAAAACATCTCAATGCAAAGTCAATTACATAATTATATGTTAGCTTGAGCATGTTCTCGAGGTATATTTTTATCTATTGAGTCAAAAATAAGTTACTGAAAGAAAAAGCATAATGCATGGCCTCTGTATGTTTTCATTGTTTTTGCAGTTGTTTCTGGTGACACACAGCAGCTTTAAGACAGACACACACACACTTTGAACAAACACTCACATGCAAAGAGCTACATTTCCACACAAACACTGGACGTGTTGACAGGCTTTTGTATCTACCCAGTGAGATATTAAACACACACAGGTGCGGTGTGAGCGTCGTAGGGATTTGCTTACAGACATTCTCATCATTGCCAGAGTTTAAGCTATCATGTATTTGAATGCAGGGACTGTTCCTTAAGGCCTTCTTACACACACACACACACACTGCTCAACTTGACTGATTTCAATTTGATGTTACGCTGGCACACGCAGACACTGTTTGAAGCTTCAACAGCAGATTTATTGATTTTATTAGAGCGCAAGAGCATTTGAAGCCGGTAGATGCGTTAAACTCGCCAAAAAAACACATCTAAGTTACATTTCACTCCAGAATTAAAATCATGATTGATGACTGAGCACATTTACTCACACATTCTCATTATTGTAATGTGGAAAGTTTTCAATTTCTCATTACCATAACAGTAATATTTACTATATTACTGCGATACAATTAGCTTTTAATTTAAATAAAGTAGTATCATGATAGATAAAAAAAACTTTACATTTGAAATAATGTCTGTTATTTTTTTTTCTGCGTGAAAGTAATGAGAATTTGGAGAGAAAAATGTTTCAAGTTTGGAAGGCCCTAAAAATTTTGGGATTCCGGAGTGAAACTGCTTCCCTGTGTTTTGAGAGGTTCACGCAGATGGTGTTTTTTTGGCTTTTCTGTCGCTCCGTTCCTTATCCAGCGCGGCGTTCCTGTGGATTTGTATATCTTAAACGCATCTGATCTCTCATTCAGACCTTCCACTGTTCCCTTCTTGATCTGTTCGTCAGGTTTGCTGTTACATTTATATGATTCGTACGTTGTTGTTTTTTGCTAAGGCGCATACAAGTTATCTTCAAAGACTTTCAAGTGATCTGACGGACGGACGTCTGTAACGTGTGTATGTGTGCACTTGACTGTTTTGGCCTGTGTTTGTGAGTTTGTGTGCGGCTGTACATTGTTAATTGTGCACTATACACTGCTGGTTGTGTTTTACAAATGTTGGCATTAGCGGGTTTCTGCGATTGGCGTTTCTCTTGTGTTTTTTAAGCGTACTCATGTAGCCTTTTGTATCGGCTGAATTGCAATAATGATTCTACAAGCATTTTTAAGACACGAACGTGTGACGGCGTTTCTGCCAAACTTATCCGCCTGTCCAGAGTTTACAAACAGCTGAAAGACGTATGTGTTTTTATGTGTCTGTACTGTTGTTTTTGTTTTAGATTAAGACTTTAACACTCCTTTCAGTGTTCAGTTTTTTTTTTTTTTTTTGAGATTTTACAGAGAAAAAAAAGAAGTGAAGAGTTTATTTAAATAAAAGTGACATGCAGCTGTTATAAACACTGAAGTATCAGATCTTTTGTTGTTGTTGTTTGTGTGGTTTCCGGACTCTTTTTGTCATACATGTTACTAACCATAAACAGATTTGGTCTCTTAGCTGTAAACTTGTCAGTGTGTTTTCTGGTCTTCTTTCAATAATTGAGAGTTTGACTCACTTATGTATAATAGATAATTATATAGATTAGTGGTCGCACTCATACATTTGATTTGAAATGTTACCTTTTGATTATGTGAATGTTTCCATTTGTAATTCCAGATAGTCTTTGATTTTTTTCAATCTATTTCCAGTAATGTTTATCATTAACAATCTCTTAAATGAGTGCATTAGATGCTACTGAATGCACATTGAAATAGATTTGTATTTTTTCCATGTACAGTACAAGTTAAGTCTGTATTATCATTATGGAATATTCTCTCAGCTCAGCTGCCAACCTTTCAGTATGAGAGGGAAGCTAACAGGTTTGCATTCAGGGTCTTCTTTTTAACTATGTGAAAGTTTTGCTATCTATATATTTAGTAACACTTATAGTAAAGATCATTAAATCAAACAATTTACATTAGATACTAGTTGTACTAGTTAATAGCAGGCTACATTAGTTATAAAGGTCAAGTTTGGTGTATATCTTTATACAGTATAAGTCAGAGTTTGGGCACAATTATTCAGGTTGTTGACGGAAAATTGTTAAGCAAGCCTGGAACTTATGCAATAATCAAAAATAATAATAATGAAAACTACGCTTTTATTTGATCTCTCCCTCAGTCTCTCTCTCTCTTGTACAATGTTTGAAAGCAGCTTAATGTCAAATTGAGGAGTTTTGGACGATAATGGTTAACATTTGGAGACGATAAAACGCGAACCAGATAAAAAAAAATGTGCTGTTACGTTGAGGCATAATGAAAATAGTTTCGGGTTCAGTTTTGTAATGCTTCTAAACACCATGAGGAGGATAGAGCTAAACAAAAAAAGAATGCTTTTACTTCACGGTCTTGTAAAACTTAAAAATACAAGTTCCGTTTTCTATGTATTGAAGACACACAGTGGCACGTTTGTCTTAAATCGTTCAGCCAAAGATGTGTCCAAACTGCAGTAACGGCTACTCTATTCAACATGATCTATTGTCGTGTGCTAATTAGCTATTAATGCATGTTATTATGAAGCGTCGCCTGGCGGACTCGCCCCGCGCTGCTGCGCGAGAGCCGCGGGCGTTGTGACGTTACCGGGAGTGAACGCATCGCGGAGCAAAGCATCGTATGCTGCAGATGAGCGGGACCCACTGAGTAACGTGAGTACTGGGGTTTGATGGGTGAATGGGTTCAGGAGATCTGTTTGAAATCCAGATCAGCATCCGCTGCGCACGATCATCCGCCGTAGCGCATCGATAAATACGAAGTCAACGTGTTTGATTGATAAATGCGCCGGTTTATGATTTCTTCGATTGTGTGTCAGCGATCAGAACTGGAGATCTTTATACAACCACATACATCAATGACAGTGAAATAACGCTCGATTAGTTTGTGACTCGGATAGAAGGAGGCCCGATCATTGTGTGTTGTAAATGTTGATATCTCCAGACGTGATGATTCTCATCCTGCGATTTATAAAAAAAAAAAGATGCAAAGATGGAGTTTTTCACGTTTTTAATCATGGTTCCCTGGCAATGCCACGGGTTTGTCTTTTTTTGGGGGGGGGGACTTATTCTATAATAATGCCACACAGTATATTTTTAGTAGCCTACTTTGTGGTGGTGTATTGTGTACCTTGTAAATATCATAGTATAAAGGCACTGCGTACAGTATTAGTGTGTCAGTGAACCACCACACTGCATTTTTGTAAGTGTATGATGATACTTAAATTGTTCTGATGACATTAACCCTCAGATCACCTCGTCAACCCTCATTGTGTTCATTTAAAGTGATAGATCACTTAAAATAGTGTCATTTACGACAGGCCTGGAGCCACTAGTATGCCGAGATGTTTGAGATGTTCGTCTTATGGAGCACAAACATGAGCTCAGATGCTATCAGTGTTTCAGTCAGTCGTGTTGTGATGCTGCGCAGTCTCCAGACGACCGGGTTGACATGGCAACACTGAGAGCATCCACTTCCAGTAAGAGAGTCGTGAATCACACACTAATGCATCACCACTGCAGGAGGAAGATCTCGGCTTATTCTTGTATGCATCAATAAATACTATGGTGCCACGTGTAAAATCCACAGATTTGACAAACTTGTTCTAATTGCGCGTCATAAGGCTTTAGGTAAGTGTTTAAAAACACTTTGTATGATTCACGTTTCACTAGTGAAACCTCTATGGACCTTCACCTTTTTCACATTTCCGGGTTTCTCAGCAGCGGAAGTCGTCATAGTTGGGTAAACTTGAAGAGGAGTGAATGGGAGAGTACCACACACACACATATATATATATATGTTTTGCATTCCCATTTGCTCAAATAGAAAAAAGAAAAAACTCCACGATAGTTTTCATGACTTTCAATAAAATGTAAAAAAAAATATTGAGAGAGACTGATAAAGGAAGTCAGAAGAGAGAACGATGTCAGATTTACTGTCCCTTTTCTCTATAGTGTCAGTGATGCCTATTCACCCCTATGTTGTATATATTGTAAATCAGTGCGCTAATACCATGTTAATACACTTTCCATGTAGAAACAGTAACTGTCTGAACTAGGGGTGTGCGATATTGACAAAACAATTTTTTTCGGTAACTATAATTAAACAATATTATGCTGGTACCCTGGCTGGTTTAAGCCGGTCATAACTAAATATGACACTCAAACCACCAGTAGGTGGTGGCAAGTCGCTGTCTTAATGAGTGATTCATTGAATCATTCATTTGTACGATTCATTCAGAACTGCTGATTCATTTAGAAACGAACAAGTGACTGTTGTTATGAATGGCACATTGAATCATTGACTCAAATAACTTGTTCAAAAACAGATTAATTTATGAACGAAACTCAGCATTGCTGCTACGAGGCGCACAGATGTTCTGATCCAACTTTATTTGGAGCTATTTTCTTTGGCAAACAGAAGAAAAACAATGTTTTGTCTACAATGCATCTCACTTAATATGAACGTCTTGTTTGTTGAACGTGCTGATATTCAGGAAAACTGCATTTTTGCTACTCGCTTATTGTTAAAACAATAAATATCACACACCCCTAACTATGGTAATTCCAGTAGAAACAGTGGTTTATAGTAAATGTTATAAGGCATGTAGAAATATGA